ATTCACCTTGGTTTTTCTTGCAGTCGTGCATACATACGCTCTTTGTCTTTCACAGGCAATCCGACATCATTTATTTGTTGCTTTATGTTGATGACATTGTTATTACAGACAACAATTCCTCTCTTCTTGACAGCTTTACTCGTAAGCTTCACTCTGAGTTCGCTACTAAGGATTTGGGTTCTCTCAGTTACTTCCTTGGTCTTGAAGCTATACCAACCACTGATGGCCTTTTTCTCAGTCAGCTGAAATATGCACACGACATTCTTAGTCGTGCTCAATTACTTGATAGCAAGTCTGTTCACATTATGATGGTTGTTTCCCAACACATGTCTTTTGATGGTTCTCTATTTTCAGATCTTACTCTTTATCGATCTCTTGTTGGTGCTCTTCAGTATTTAACCATCACACGTCCTGATATTCCTCATGCTGTCAACTCTGTCAGTCTATTTCTACACTCTCCGACTGATGACCACTTTCTTGCTGTCAAATGCATTCTTTGCTATGTAAAGGGCACACTGCATTTTGGCCTCTCTTTTCATCCATCTGTTGCTTCCAGTACTTTATTTGCTTACTCTGATGCTGACTGGGCAGGATGTCCTGACACTCGTCGCTCTACCTCTGGTTATTCCATTTACCTTGGTGACAATTTGGTTTCCTGGAATGCCAAGAAGCAACCTACCGTTTCTCGTTACAGCTGTGAGTCTGAATATCGCGCCCTTGCTCTCACTGTCGCAAAACTTCTTTTGCTTACGCATCGCCTTCGTGATCTCAAAGTTTCTCTTCCACATCGGCCTCTCCTATTATGCGACAATAAAAATGTAATTTTTTTAGCTCCAATCCTATTTCTCATAAGCGGGCCAAGCATGTTGAATTAGACTACCCCTTTCTTCGCGAACTTGTTCTTGCTGGTAAACTTCGGACACAATATGTACCCTCACACTTGCATATTGCTGATATCTTCACCAAAAAGTGTATCTAGGCCTCTCTTTCAATTTTTCAGATCCAAGCTACACGTTTGTTCCAATCTCACGCTTAGCTTGCGGGGGGTGTTGAGGATCCTCTTCCCTAATCTACGACATTCCATATGTAACCATTGACCCTCAATTATAGGATCTTGTTTAGTTTATTCTTTCCATTTATTTTGTAATCATATCTTTACGTGTAATTAAGTTATACACTATTTAATTGAATATATATATGCAAACTCTCACCACTAACAAGTGTTATGTAATTGAATATATATATGCAAACTCTCACCACTAACAAGTGTGGTGGTTTTTCCTAATATTCTCAATATTGTCTTGCTTCAAGCCTCGGTATGCATTTGTGGTAGGGGGCGGTTGAGGGCATTTACGATGTATTCAGCATAGTGTGGACATTGGCTCTTCATGGACGTCAATTGCGATGTTGTGAAAGCAAAAGCATCATCAAGAACAAGTTCGTCATTTGTTCAGAATTGGTTTGCTTCATATAAGCATATCATCCCTTTCGTATCACTAACTTTGAACTCACAATTCTCGTCCTTGAACCTATTAAAAGCATCTTATTCAAAATCCAGTTCATTGCGTTATCATTATCAGACACATACACACACACATATATATATAGATGGCATTACCAGAAGACATATTATAGCCATGGGATCTAAAGACTTGAAATATGACGGCAATGGTGTGCAAATCATAATCGTTGTTGTCAGTGAGTTGGCACAGCGTATGCTTGTGTATTTCAGTCTGGAAGTGGTGCGATACTCCTAGGCGGCATACGGTATTTATAAACAAAATATTGCGTATTGGATCGGCGGTAGAAGCCATTAACGTATCCTTCACCATTTCTTTCAGCACTTCAACTTGCCTTGAGCAATATTCAAGTTACTGCATATTACCAAATGAGGATTGATTGTTTCAAACTCGACTCGATCGAATGTTCACCAATAAACAACTTCAACACTGTCCGTTAGGGAAAGAAGTTAATAGCTTTAACCCTTTGCTTGTTTTTTTTAATAGAAAAGTCAACATATTTTATTACTTATTAAAGCTAACATCAATGGCATTCCTCCGTATTAGAAAAAAAAAGTCAACGAATTCAAGTTAGGCAAAACAAATATAAACAACTGAAAAGTATAAAAAATATCAAATTAAGATAATTATATTTAAAGAGAGAAAATATTATTTTTAATGATATAATTTTAAAAAATATATAATTGATTTTGATATAATCTTTGAGTAAACAAACAATCTATTTCATGTTCACCGGATCATAATTGTTCTTTATTGGATGGTTTGGATGTCACCTTCTTATTCTAAATTAAAATGGTGTTTGTATGGGAAATAGATTGGAAACATTTAGGCAAGAATAAGACAGCTAAACATCCCCATTTATTTGTTTAATAAAAGTTCTTAAATTAAGTAATAAATGGAAACCATAAGCTAAAAATCAGGTCACAGGTCATCGAACACGGTATACAAACACTTCATAAATTATAATGCACTTATGACCGCTTAAATAGAATTACAATCTCCTAACTCATCTTTTAATTTTCTCAATCATACTATTTAATTATTTAAACAATATCATTTGATCCTCATTACATACGTATTTTATTGATTTGATCTTAATTTTAACAAAACTGATAAATTAAGATCATGTTGATAGAATGCATAAGTAATGATGATCAAATGTGTAATTTTATTAGTTTTGTTAAATATCACATCAAGTCATTCATAAAATATTAATGGCATGTGATTTAATAGATATCATTGAAATAATTAAATGATTTAATTGACAAAATTAAAATATTAATGATCGAATTAAATTTACCTCATAGTTAAGTGATTACGAGTGTACTTTATCTCTAAATAAATTGTTTTTAAAATATGCATTTTTTTTGAAAGGATTTTGTATGGTATTAATTGAAACACATACAAAATGAAATAAGACATGTGCATCGTTAAAAAACCTAAATGAAAGAAAAATAGTGCATCATGAATTGTCGAAAGAAAAACTCCCTAAACAAAGGCTTAATAAAACAACCAACAACGGTAAAAACAATCAAACAACCCAAGGCTGGCTACCAATCACACGGCTAAAAACATGCTGCAAAGAAAAGGCAGGCAGTCTGGTCATGATAAGAACAACAGTAAAGAGAGCCCATCACGCCATTACCAGAATGCCTTCCTATTTCATTAGAAAACTAGATGCAAAGAACTAACAATGGAAACAACTCAACTAAAATAACAGCCACCAAAATGCAAACTCAGAAACGTATCAGCAGAACCCACAACTAAGCACCATATCAGATAAAACTCATAATCACTTCAATACCAAAAAATGGAAAAAAAGTTAGTTTTAAGTTTACTTTTTTTGAAAGCATGAAAATTGTTGTCTAGGGTGAGGTCAGGGCTGTGGCTGGGGGGCGCAAACTGTGCGACCGCGCAGGCCCCCAAAAAATGGGCTCCAAAAAAAGATATATAGTGGCGTTTTACCAATAAACGCCACTATAGATAGATCTATTGTGACGTTTTTTTTCAAAAAAACGCTACTATTATTGCGGTTTTATTGATAAAACGTCATTATAGATGGATTTATTGCAGCGTTTGTCAAGAAAACGCCACTATTATTGTCCCAAAATCGAATATATCTAAAAAATAAGGGCCCCTTTATACGAATTTGTACAGAATCCCCGAAAACCTTGCCACGGCCCTGGGTGAGGTTAGGACGTTAAACCTTAAATTTATATTGATTAATACAATATATATATTATTAAATATTAATAAACTCATAAAATCGTCGTCCATTATTTATCGATTTAAATTTTTTAAAACCTCTTTAAAATTTACACAATTAAATAAAATAAATATATTTTTGAGGAATTGACGATTTCTTATAGTTCAATGGTTGAGATATTTGTTAAAAAAAATCAAAGAGTAAAAATATCATTTTAAGAAAAAAAAATAATATACTTTGAAATTAGCCTCATGAATATAAAATCTAAAGATTGATAATTTAGAATGTAATTTATCTTTATACGAATGGTTGAAGCTACTAGTTTCCTGTTTAGCCTACCACTCTTTTAAGTTCATCGGTTGCCCCGTGTATATAACCAGATTTCCATACACCGACAAACATGGGTGAAAAGATAAAAATAAACAACCACAGTAACTTTAATTTTTAAACTAGAAAAACTGGGAATTTAAAATCAAACACGTGGGACCGGAATCATTAGGAGGGTGACATGTTTGCATGTAATTTGTGAATCTGATATCTTTCACATGCGCGGATTTCGCGCTTTTATTTACTACCTTTTCAATCCCCACAAAACAAATGCCATAATTTCATTGGTTCTTCATTTATTATTATTATCATCATTTTAAATTTATTTTCACCGATACCGAGGCTATTCAATTTACGTTGTGAGCATTACTTCAATGGTCGTTCATGCATCGCTTTCAATTTCAAATAATTTTTTTTGGTAGATTATATAGTAGTTAATAAAATTTATTAATTATAAAATGACATATAATAATTTAAAATTTATGGACCAATTTAATATAAAAGTTATAATTTAGAGAAATTATTTGCAATTAACTATAAAATTTATAGAATTATTATAAAAAATATTCATTAAATTTATGAATTTTTTTATTACTTTTAGAACATTTCAATAAATATTTTGTGACCGTTTATAAATTTAATAGTTATTTAAAAAATATAATGATCAAAATAATTATTTCGATAAAACTTAATAATTTCTAAAATATTTTATCATGTTTCTTCAATCGAATAATAATAAATTAATATTTATTATTTAAAAAATTTAAATACATTTTAAAGGTGCTTGTGAAATAATTTTTATTTCATTCACGATGCATATAATACATTTTAGCAATGGCTTGGTTGACATTGAAGACGCCATGGTGCTCGGAGAAAACCACGCCTATATCAGCTCTTCTTCTCTCTTTTATGGTCTTTGCTTTCATTATTTAGACGCATTCATTTGACCCCAAATCCAGAGTTCTCATCTTTCTCTCCTAACGTTTACTTTTCTCTCTCTTTTTCTCTGTTACGTTTCCAAGCTTCGTGGGTCAGTTTTCTCTTTTCCCTTTTTAAATTCAAAAACATTCCTTGCATTTCACAGCTGCATGTGTTTATAAACTGGTTTTCTCCTGTTGATCTCGACTTAACTTTTTACCCTGTTATCTCTCTGCCATTAAAGCCTGGTTTCCTCTTTGAATTCCCATGCGTTTTCCTTTGTTTTTTTTTTCTAGGTGATTTTGAGTTGCTTAAGATTTGCTTAGCTTAATACAAATGAAATGAAATGTTTGATATTCAAATCATCTGTTTTCATTTGGTTTAACATTTGTTCCTTAAGAATTGCTAATGAGGTTTATTTCTTCATCTCTTGCTTTTCGGTTCTGCTGGATCTTGAATTTCTGGTCAATAAGTGGATCCAATTATTAGTTATTACTGCTTTTTCTTTTCATGATTCTGATATGCCTTTCTCTTGTGTTCTTCATGTGTGTGTATGTGTTTATATATTGCAGCACATATGCCAGAAAAGCATTTCCGAGGAAGGGTCTTTTGATTTGATAATTGAAATCGAGTGTAGTTATTGTTCTGCATACCAGAAATTCATTTGAAGCCTTTTCCAAATGCTGAATTCTTCAAGAGGAAGAAGCCAGACTAGGTCGACTCGAGCCATGCCGTTTGCCGGTAACATTTCCTTTTCTTAGTAACAATTTGTTTCTTAATCCACGTTTCAAATACGACTTGCTTGTGTTTGAATGCAATGCTAATGTTAATTTGTTGCTGGCTTATTTTTTCATGTAGCCATTGAACACCCTGATCCGAAAAGGAAGAGCAATTTCGTCGAGAAAGTCCTTATGGCTGCGGTACTCACAGCCTTATGTATCATCATGCTCAAGAGATCTCCATCATTTAGTACTTCCAGTCATGTAATATTTGGCTATTTCTTCTATATATTGCATGCAGAAATGTTGCAGATGTCTTTGATTAGCAGTTTGATAATTGGACCGCATATAGCCATAATTGTTAATTGGTATTTTCTCTGTTATTGAGTCCCCTGGTTTTTTTTCTTCCAGTTCTCCCAACACGAAGCAGGGGTAACTCATGTTCTTGTAACTGGAGGTGCCGGATATATCGGTTCGCATGCTGCTTTGCGACTTCTCAAGGAGAACTACCGAGTAACAATTGTGGTATGTTTTTAAGTTAAGGGTATATGTAACAATCTTGCTTCTAATTTTGTTAGTCTGGGTTTTAAGGAAGGAGTCGGCTTTCTTGCAGGACAATCTTTCACGTGGAAACATGGGTGCTGTCAAGGTTCTCCAAGAATTATTTCCAGAACCTGGAAGGCTTCAATTCATCTATGCCGATCTAGGCGATGCAGAAGTCGTATCCTTACTCATTAATATTATTACGATTGGTGCGCTTAAACATGGATGTGTTGTCTTCTGTTTCCTTGACTTCATATTTTAGGTGGATAAAATATTTTCAGAAAATGCATTCGATGCCGTTATGCACTTTGCGGCAGTCGCATATGTCGGGGAGAGCACGATGGATCCTCTCCGGTAAGTCTCATTTACGATTTATCATTCAAAATATCTCTTTCCATGGTATTTAAACTATGATGATATCAATTGTATTTTTGGCCATACGACTTGAAGGTATTATCATAACATTACTTCGAACACCTTGACGGTCTTGAAGTTGATGGCTGCTCACGGTGTTCCGACTTTGATATATTCTAGTACATGTGCGACGTACGGCGAGCCTGAAAAGATGCCTATCACTGAAGAAACCCCACAGGCAAGCTGCAAACATTGTTTAACGCTTAGTTATATTCTAAATAACAGTTATAGTATACGGCAACTGACATTTGTTTCGGAACCAACTCAGGTTCCAATCAATCCATATGGAAAAGCTAAGAAGATGGCTGAGGATATGATTCTGGATTTCTCTAAGAATTCAGACATGGCAATTATGATCCTAAGGTTTGTATTTTTCTTCACTTTCCAAGTGTTCCGAGAATTTGGATATGCAGATTATTATGTTCCAACAATATGATCGTGTTTTTGGTGGAACGACTTTCAGATACTTCAATGTGATTGGATCAGATCCGGAAGGAAGATTAGGCGAAGCTCCAAGACCAGAGTTGCGTGACCAAGGACGAATTTCGGGTGCTTGTTTCGATGCAGCTCGTGGCATCATTCCTGGTATCAAGGTAGGGTATTCCTCTCACCCCCTTCACTTTACTCATGGTCTCAAGTGCTTGCTTATTAAACCCTGGTGCATATCTCTGCAGGTGAAGGGAACGGACTACAAAACACACGACGGAACTTGCATACGTGATTACATCGACGTTACCGACCTGGTTGATGCTCATGTTAAAGCCCTCCAACATGCAAAGCCTCGTAATGTTGGAATCTACAACGTGGGCACGGGAAAAGGAAGATCGGTGAAGGAGTTTGTAGAGGCATGTAAGAAAGCCACAGGAGCTGATATAAAAGTCGATTATCTTCCTCGACGACCAGGAGATTACGCAGAAGTGTTCAGCGACCCGTCTAAGATCAGGCAAGAACTGAACTGGACAGCTCGATATACCGATCTCGAGGAGAGTTTACAGATTGCATGGAAATGGCAAAAGGAGCACCTTGACGGATACAATTCATCATAGATGATGGCTTTATGTAGTAAAAGAAAGAAAAAGGCTTAATAGCATACCCCAAACAGCTCGGATTTCGGCTGTTTTTCTTCTATGTTTGGCATAGAAGAGAGGGGAAATTCAGATAATTTCCGACTGCTATTATTTCCCATTACTTGGGAAGTTGGTTATACTGAGCAGCCTATTCATTATATAAACGATTTAATTTATTACTTTTATCTTATTGTTTTATCGTGACACGGACTCAATTAAAAGTTTTATTCATAATATACCTATATGTAATTATGTAAGCGTATTTGAAGATGAAAGCTGGTTTGATTTTATTGTTATACTATGAGGAAATATTGGTAGTAAAAACGGTCGTAAAATAAAAATTATATCAATGTTGTGAAAAGTCCTAAACAGGAATAACACGAGCAAAGAAAGGAAAATTTTTCTAATGTAAAAACTGAGAAGAATGAAAGGAGATTGCGATTATGTGCGATCTTCAACTTCAAGCTTATCGACCTAGGCAAAATTGGTCTAATATAATAGGTGGATTAATTATTTAAACATAAAATAATTTATTTAGAGAGCTACGGTATTTTTTATAATGTTTCTATAACTCGTCACATCAACATGACGAGTTCCATCGAAAAATATATTTTAAAGAAATATGAACGAAAACATGTCTTCAAAGGAGAAAGGGGTAACCGAAAAAGATGAATGGTGGAGATGAACAATGCAGAAGCCGTTAGTTTGATTACCACCCCTAGTCATGGTCATGAGCCTACTTTAGTCCGAAGGATTCGTGAGATGTTGCAGCAAAGATGGACGGTTGTTCTCGATCTCATTCCACGAGAAGCAAATAGGATTGCCGACGCTCTTGCTCGTTATGGTTTCTCGGGCACGTACGCCTCACTGAATAGTAGAATCTGCCTGCGAATATCAGTTCTTTACTTAACGGCGATATGCAAACTGGGGGAGATACCTCAAACAATAGCTAAGACTTTGATCTTCTTGTAACCCAATTTTTTTTTTACCATTATAATCACTTGATTAATTCATGATGTAAAACATATTTAAAAACACGTGAATCTAATTATAAATATATATATATATATGTTTATATTTTATATATACATTTTGGATTTAACATACTAAATAATTGGCAATTTCATTAAAATTTGAAAACATATTTTATTTAATGTTCAAATTACATTATCAATACAGTTGTAGCCACCATTTTTCATAACCCTTAAATCCCATAACCCCAAACCTTAAAAATTTAAACCCGAGAGAACCTTAACCCTAATCCTAACCATAGAGATATCATGATTCAGCCGTCACCGCCGGTCCAAGCTCGCTCAACAAAACCCCGGAATATCCGGAGCATTAAAAGCACACCATCAGCAACAACAGTAACACCACAGTGGAGCTAGGATTATTTTTATTTTTTTTAAACCTATGTAAAATTGGTTATAAGAACCAAAACCATGTAACCGAGAGGGGATCTCTTCCTCTCGTTCTTTCTCAATAGAAATACAAGAAGCCTTTTTAAGGTATTTTTCTTCTCCTTTTCGTTGTTATTTGGTTTTAAAAAGGATAATAAAAACTAAAACAAAGTTTAGATAAATTTTTTAGGGAAAGAAAATAAGTTAAAGAGTAAGTTTACCTGGATTTTTTGTGTTCCTTGTCGAATAGAGTCGTAGGGGAAGCGATTAGAGTCGGGTTAGTGTAGTTTGGGTAGTAGCGCCACCGTGTGTGGTGGCTCTTTTTGGTTTCCTTGGTGAACGCTGTCGTGAGTTGAGGGAGGAAGAAAAGGGAGAAAGAGTTGGGATTAGAAACTGCGTGAAAAAATGATTCTGGAGAGGGGGAAGGAGTTGATATCTTAAGGTTTTTGGGTAAATCACGCTTTAAGTCCCCCTTTTTAGTGTGTTTCATGTTTAGTTATTAGTTTTAGGGTTAATCGTGTCTCAAGTCCTCCTAGTTTTAGCATTTTTTGCAATTTAGTCACCATTTCCTTTTATTTTCTAAGATTTACGAATTAGATGTTTGGTTTTGTATTATTTTAATTTAGTCCTCTGGTGTATTATTTTTTTTTTGCTCGAGATTGGCCACTGATGTTGATGTTTTTCTATTTTAGTCATATGTTTATGGTTTTATCATGATTCTAGCGCTTCTATTTGTTATTCTCTTGTTTAATGCTAGAATATTTACTTTATTAATGTTTAGGATATCAAAGTTACTTTATATTTATTTTTGTCACCATATAGTGAATGAATCCAAGTGTATATTATTTATTTTTACCATTAAAGTATGTTTTATGTTTTATATATGTATTTTTTTGTATTATTATTATATATTACTTTGTATATAATATTATAGCATGATAGAAACATTTTATTTTATATTTGTATTATATTTTAGAATAAATATCATGTTCTATGTTTAATATAATATTTAGAAAATATGTATATATTTATAAAGTTTCTCTAAGTGCTTCAATGTATCATATTTTATTTTGTTTAAAAGCCTCATTAGCATAACTTAACCGATTATATAATTGGATTAAGGGTAGTATTTATGTATTTTAAAATATTAAGAAGGGACAGTCTTAAAACAACTAGATGTTCTTTTTCGATATTTTAAAATAAATAAATATCCCACTAGAAAAATCTAAAAAATTGATTGCATTTAAAATTAATTAATTTTGAAGGGAAAAGGAAATATTCATTATTTTAAACTTATCGAGACAATTTGCTAATTTTATTAGAGATTAAGTCTCGGTGTTTTTAAATTATTGAATATCCCTTATCTTTTCTAATAATATTCGGATTAATAAATTTAATTTCTTTCTTTGGTAGAATAATTTTTTTTATATGGAATCCTTAGGAAAAATTATTATATTCTTTTTATTTCAGTTGGGAAGAGAAATATTCGTCCTCAAGTATTTTAGGGAGTATTTTCTCTTCAATTGGAAATAAGAGAATATTTTATATTTTTCCTTAGAATTTTTGTTCTATAATATTTGTATGGTTGAATTAGGAATAATGGAATCGTGATCTAAATATATATTCGAATTCTTAGATTTCTACTATTTAGAGACAATATATAATCGATGGGTACCAATTTTGGGCGTTGTGGGGGTGCTAATCTTTCCCCACACGTAATCAACCCCTGAACTCTTTTTTATTACTAAAAATAAATTTCTGGTTATACGTGGATCGATGCATCTTTTAAAATGATGTTTTTCTTAAAAAACTCTTTTAAAAGAAGATTTTTGGGTATTCGGCCTACCTAACCCAAAAGGTCGATGGCGACTCCGAAACATTTCTTTTACAAAATCGGGTTTTCACGAAATGAGTCGAGACTCGTTGTATCGCCGGAAATCGGTTACGACAGCTTGGCGACTCCGCTGGGGACATTAGAGGCTCAAGCCTTAAATCGATTATATATGGTGTCTATAGTTAGAAATTGAGAATTCGGTTATATTTAATTTACGATTCCTTTGATTCCTTTCAATTGTTATTTAATATCTTTGTATATTAATGAGTGTATTTGATTTCAGATGTTAAAGTCTCAGATTCGCTTTAGTTCATTTTTTGTGTCGTTGTTTGTAAAAGGTTTGATAATTTCTCCTCACACACAACACTTGCATTGCATATCATAAGTTATATACACGAGCTCTTCCTTTTAAGTGGGAGTGAAAGTGACGTCTTCGTGAGAATTTATTCTCCGTGTCAAACCTAGCAATTAGCTTCCGGGGTACATATATCCTATGTCTTCGTGAGAATTTATTCTCCGTTTCAGGCATAGGGAAATGTGCCCCCTCGAATTGAACTCGATCCGCTTAAGCCTATAATGGGTGAGGATTGAGGGTCTGGCTCGCCCAAGGGGGCACCAACAAGGACAATTCGAGTACCTTTACTCTTAGAACCGAAACTCTGCATATAATAAACCATAGAAACCCACCCGATTTAAGACCAAGCCGAAACTTTGTCCATAGGTACCCAAATAAGTGTACACAAAGGAGAAATGAACTTTAACCTTTTTTTAAATTTATTTTTATAAATGCATGTGAATTAGAAAATTATGCAATTTAAGGTTTATCTTATTATTTTAAGTATATGGGTTAGAAAGCATGATTGGGTAGGATTGTTATTTATTAAAAAGTATGTTTGGGTAGCTATCATGATGGGTAGGTTTTTTTTTTCCAAAATTTTATTAACTCATTACATGTACTAACTTGTTTCATTTTCTTGTTTCCTTTCATTTTTGATATTTGCATTGCATCATTCAAGATTGAGGGTGTTGATCTTTAGTTAATCATCAAATTGGAAAGCTTTCAGTAATGGACGAAAAGTATTCGAGTCAAATTGTTCAAAACTCTGAGGTACGACAATGGTCTGAAGCACTACAAAGACAAGAAGGGGACAGTTTGCAAGCCGATCATGTGTCAGAATTATTGGGTTATGCTCCTATTTCTTTTTAAAAGAAATGACGTCCAAGACTTACGAGACATTTGGGAAAAATGGGAATCAAGTAAGAAACTGCAGTTTTACCAGTGTTATGGGGACATTTCCTATCTGTTGTATTTTAACATAGAGGATGAGCTGCTCCGAGCCTTGATTCAATTTTGGAATCCAGGTTACAACTGCTTCACTTTCAATCAAGAAGATATGGTTCCTACCATCGAAGAATATATTGTTTTGTTGCACATAGAATAGGCTCAAGAGAATCGGATTTATTCCAAGTCCATCAAAACTCAACCCTTCAGAATCAAATTAGCAAAAATTGTGGGAGTGCGCGAGGAATGGGTGGTTGCTCGTACCAAACAAAAAGGCGAAAGCGAAGGTATTTCTTGGAATGCTATTAAAGAAATTATTCAAAGTCTTCCTGACGAGAAAATTTGATTTGATCTTTTTGCACTGGGTATTTATGGCTTAGTCATCTTCCCGAAGGCCTTGGGATATATTGAGGCTGCAGTTGTGGATTTATTTGAACAATTACCAAAAAAGATCAACCCTGCTCCTGTGATTTTAGCAGAGACCTTCTGATCCTTGAATGCTTGTCGAAGGCTTGGAGGTGGTCGATTTTCAGGGAGCGCACAACTACTATATGTCTGGATACGTAGTCATTTTTGGAAAATTGAAAAGATTTCATATCATCGTTTTAGTACCAGCTACTCGCCTTTGAGAGAATTCCTCGAGCAAGATTGGCCAAAA